GCAAAAAATGGAGGGGGGTGTCCATTTTTTCCTTCCTGGGTCCCAGGGAAGTTTCCTGGAAACAAAAATGCCCCCCAAGAGGCTTCCCTAGGGCCCAGGAGGCCCCAAAATGGAGCATGGGAGGAGTGCTGCACACCCCCTCTAGGTTCCATTTTTTTTCTTCCTGAGCCCCAGGCGAGCCTTCTGCGAGCAAAAACACCCCAAAAGGGCCCCCAAAACGGGGGAAGTACTGCAAAAAAAGAAGAAGCCATACCCACCCAGTCACATGCCTTGCCCACCTAGCCATGCCCACAGAATTGGTTGTTATAAAATTTGAATCCCAACCCTTGTCTGAGCCCTTTCCCAAGGTAGGACAAGGGTGGAATATGCTGTCTAAAAACATATGCTTGCTTCTGGTCCTTTTTGTCCCAGTACATTTTCGCCCAGGGGTGGGATTCTACCAGTATAACAACTGGTTTGGTGATTGTGCACCTTGTGCGCGTTCGAGACAAATGTGTGTTGTGAGCGTGCGCTCCATGTTTTAAAAAGCTAAAATTCCTACCTTGTAATGTACTTCCTGTGAATCAAACAGCTGAGGCACAGCAAACCGTTCTGCCGTGCCAATCAGCTACTTTCTAAAACCAGGAAATAAAGGACAGGAAAGAGCAAGAGTGGGCGGGCTCACATGCAAGTCACAGTGAACTGGTTCAGAGCCAGCTGATCGTCAAAACAAGGGATTCGCCCAATCCGATCCAAACCAGTAGAATCCCACCCCTGTTTTCACCTGTACTGAGTATTACTTCTAGTAAGTGAAGAATGGAGGTGCCACAGTGGTTAGAATGCAGTATTGCAGGCTGACTCTATCCACTGTCAGCAGTTTGATTCTCACTGGATCAAGGTTGACTCAGCCTTGTATCCTTCCAAGGTTGGTAAAATGAGGACCCAGATTGTTTGGGGGGAAGTATTCTGACACTGTAAATTGCTTAGAGTGGTCTGCATAAGCACTATGAAGCAGTATATAAGTCCAAGTGCTATTCCTAGTGCAGTTTATGATTTAGCATCTAGTGATGGTGTGTTGATTTGTTCGATATGGGCTTTGCTGCAATGGGTTTAATGTAATCTTTTTTTTTTTTTGCATTGTTTTGGATGATCAAGGGAGGTCCTAACACCACTCTATAAAGCCTTAGTAAGACCACACTTAGAATACTGCATCCAGTTTTGGTCATCACACTATAAAAAAGATGTTGAGACTCTAGAAAGAGTGCAGAGAAGAGCAAACAGGATGATTAGGGAACTGGGGACTGAAACATATGAAGAATGGTTGCAGGAACTGGGGATGTCTAGTATAGTGAAGAGAAGGACCAGGGGAGACATGATAGCAGTCTTCCAATATTTGAGGGGCTGCCACAGAGAGGAAGGGGTCAAGCTATTTTCCAAAGCATCTGAAGGCCAGACAAGGAATAATGGATGGAAATCAAGGAGAGATTCAACCTAGAAATAATGAGAAATTTTCTGACAGTGAGAACAATCAATCAAATGAACAGAAGTTGCCTTCAGAAGTTGTGGGAGCCACATCACCGGAAGCTTTCAAGAAGACTGGACTGCCGTTTGTCAGAAATGGTGTAGGGTCTCATGCTTGGGCAGGAGCTTGGGCTTGATGACCTACAAGAGCCCTTCCAACTCTGTTAATCTGTAAAGCTATTTTAAACTTGCAGATCTTTGGCGTTGAGTATTTTTTTGAAGCTGTAAAAGGATATCTGCCTGGGGTCTACCTTGATTTGTGTGGGGGGAGGGCACATATAAATCTTGTGAAATAATGAACACTGTGAAATAAATGAGAACATTCTGTGGATTATCCTTGAACTTTAGACAACCCCAGATCTACGCAAAATGGACTATCTTAATAAACTTAACAAAGTGATAGTATGGTGATATGTAGTTCCTGAAATTTTAGCATGCTTCCTCCGTTCCAGACACCACCATAAGATGAGGTAATGCAAATAAAGCGTCTCTACGACTTGGTGAAAAATGGAAAGAAAGACACCAAAAAAGGTGAAGGCAAGTGAGAACTGGCAACGGTATCAAGTAGGCTTGACGCAAAATAGGGAGGAGGTGTAGGAAGTTGAAATTGCTTTTCTTCTTAATCTGCAGCCTTGCCACACTTTTTTTTCACATAGTTGACTCTTCTGTCCTTGCAAAACACAGCACGTGACTAGTTTCTTCATTAGACACGACTATTTCTCCACTCCCTTTGGGTAAAGGATCAATAGGCAATATATTGTGGCTTAGGGATAAAATTAGGGCCTAAATATTTCCACTGTTCACAGGGCAGAAAAGAATACTTTTGCCCAACTATTGTGGCCCACCAGTGGCCAGCAGAGCTGGCGGCAGACTCAGACAGTGAGGAGGTTGTGGGGGGAACATGGGCCAGTCCTGGAGTCTGGGGAAGTTCTGATGAGTGCTCTACATCGAAGGCAGAGATTGGGCCAGGGCCACCCAACAGTTATCAGCTGCCTTCGGATTCGGAGGTCAGTGGGGCAGAAGAACAGCTGGAGCCTGTTCCCAACATGCACTTGTGCAGAACTGCCAGAAGAAGGGAACAGTTAAGGAACAAGGGTCAACTCGGAAGTAAAGACACAGGTGGATGGTGAATGCCCCTCTCGTAGGGAATAAAGAGGAGCGAAAGGGGAGCGATGTTTGCAGGAGACAATTAGTTCATTTAATTAGGGAAAAGATTTGTTCCTGACTCCTTGCCAAGTATTTTCTGGTACAGCCTTGCGCTTGGAAGCTCTCGGCCTGGCAACTCTCCAAGACTGATAAGGTCTGTAGTTGCAAATCACTCTTGAAAGACTGTTTGCCGGGACTTTGCTGGATGTGAATGAGAGGAATTCACATTAGACTAATAAAAAGGGGTTTTGTCGGGATGAGGAGTCTGCTTCATGATTTTGTGAAGCCTAGGGGTCAGAACACCCAAGTGTTATTAGGCAAACAAGGAATTTGTCTCTGGCGCAGAGACTCTCCATTGCCAAGTTTGAAAAATCACTGAAGTAAAAGTACAGGTAGTCCTTGACTTACAATAGTTTGTTTAGTGACTGTTGAAAATTACAACGACACTGAAAAAAGTAGCTTATGACCATGTTTCACACTTATAAGTATAGCAGCCTCCCCATGGTCATAAGATCAAAATTCAGATGCTCGGCAATTGACTCATATTTATGATGGTTGCAATGTCCCGGGTCTCATGATCCCGTTTTGCTACTTTCTGATTAGCAAAGTCAATGGGAAAATCAGATTCACTTAACAATTGGGTTACTAATTAAATAACTGCAATGATTCCCTTAACAAATGCGGCAAGGAAAGTCGTAAAATGGAGCAAAACTCACTTAACAAATGTCTCACTTTAGCAACAGAAATGTTGGGCTCAGTTGTGTCAAGGACTACCTGTATGTCCCTAATTTTTTTGTTATTGAATATTGTAAGTCTGTTGGAGCACGAAGAAGATGGAAGCAATCCATATCATATTTTAGATCTGTGAACCCCATGGATAAAATGGTAGATGGGAATGGCCTTGGGAGACAGGAGGAGAAATGTTAGTAGACAATAGCCAGAAAAGAGGAAACTCAACCCACAAAGCAATGCAGGGGTAGCAAAGTCTGAGAAAGGACTTTGTATCCTTGACTGGAAAGGCAAGAGGTGGAGGTGGGGGGAGATGTATTTTCAGTCTTGAAAGATTCTGTTAATGTAACCATACAATAAAGTTGGAGCGATTACTTCTGGGTATGCTTCTTGTGTGGGCTACCTCGTCAAGCTGACAATGGAGCGTAGAACTTTCCCGGGGAGGTCAACTAACGAATTGTAGACCATATGCAACCCAGATCAAACCACCAACAATAATTTGAATGCTTCTATTGTTTTCTTTTTTTAATTATTGTTATTTTATTGCTTTAAAATGTTTTGAGCATGTCAGCTTAATATTTTTTTTAATTGTGAACCACCGAGAGTAATTAACAGAGATAGGCAGCTATGGAAATTGAAAAAAAATATATGAATTAATAAATAATTTGGCCTCAGGGGTGCTTTTTTTCAACAGGCAACTGGACTTTCTTGTTTTTCTTTGAAGACGTTTCGCTTCTCATCCAAGGAGCATCTTCAACTCTTGGATGAGAAGCGAAACGTCTTCAAAGAAAAACCAGATGGTCCAGCTGCCATCAGAAAAGCACCTTTGGGACAACCATGACTTGGATGACTAAGAATCTTCATAGACATTCAATTTGGCCACAGTTTCCTCATTTGCTCTTTTTGTTGGGAACAAAATGTCAGTGCACGTAGTTCTTGACTTACGACCACAACTGAGTCCAACATTTCTGTTGCTAACTGAGACAGTTGTTAAGAGAGTTTTGCTCCCAGTTTATGACCTTTCTTAATTGTTAAGTGAATCACTGCAGTTGTTAAGCTGGTAATGTGGTTAAGTGAATCTGGCCTCCCCATTGACTTTGCTTGTCAGAAGGTCACAAAAGCGGATCATGTGACTCCTGGGACACTGCAACTGTCATAAATATGAGTCAGTTGCCAAGCACCTGAATTTTGACCTCGGGAATGTGCTGCAACAGCCGTAAGTATGAAAAAAAACACTCATAAATCACTTTTTTCACTGCGTTGTAATTTCAAAAGGTTGCTAAGTGAGCTGTTGTAAGTTGAGGACTGCCTGTGTAGGTGTTAAGCCTATGTGTAATGTTCAGTTTGTTCTTCATTCATTCCAGAAAATGAGAGCAGGACTCCACAGGCCTGAAGTGCAAAGAGCTATAACACAATCCCAAAATCTTTCCGAAAATAAGTTTACGGTTTCCACGAGCTCCGAAACGCCACAATAAGCCTGTAGAATGTGTGAAATGATAAAGGCGGCCATGGAGATAAAGTTGATGAGTCATTTCCTCAAGAAATTACTATTACTGCTTTTATCTACTATTTTGGCCTCCGTGCCAAACCCACACAGACCATACTTCCCTCTCTCATTCTTGAGGCAGCTTCCCGTTTATCCAAGCTGCTTTGTGCAAATCAGCGATGTTAAACCATGGCTGAAACACCCACTTCTGGACAGATAAATGTTCCTCATGTTCGCTGACCTTTACAAGGCTTGGGTGCAAGGGGCCGTCAACAGCTGAGGATGGAGTTGGTGCAGCTGTTTTTCTGTTTTTCAGCCGTTGCCGGCAAGTGCCTTTTTTAAATATTTCGATAGATGTATGAATATATCAGGGTTATTGTGGAGTTTGTGGCTCTTATTCTCTTGCATTAGCTAGGCTCAGCTGCTTATTAATTAATTTATTTATTTATTATATTTGTTTTATATATCCAGGTAGCTCAAGGTGATGAATATATCTAACATTTTTCCTTTTTCCTATTTTCCCCACAACAACTCTGTGAGGTGGGCTAGGCTGAGAGAGAGTGAATGGCTCAAAGTCAGCTAGCTGGGTTTCACCCCTAAGATGGGACGAACTCACCGTCTCATGATTTCTAACCAGACGCCTTAACCACTAAGACCTGGAGGTCTCCGAACTTGGTAACTTTAAAACTTGTGGACATCAACTCTCAGAATTCCTCAGCCAGCCATGTTTGGAGATTCTTGCTCTAAACCAAACGGGCTTTCTCTAGACTATTTCATTATTTGTATACTTTTTCTCTTTAACCCACTTCTCTTGCATTATGCTGTTGCAGGCAGACTTTTGATGTTTTGCAAGAAAAATAAATGGAAGTTTTCCAAAATATTTGGAAAAGATGTGAATTCTGAGGAAGACTAGAGGGAACTCAGAGGAGAATGACTTTTCTTGCGTCAGTTGTTAAGTGAACCACTGCAGTTGATAAGTTAGTAACCTTGTTGTTAAATGAATCTTGCTTCTCCCATTGACTTTGCTTGTCAGAAGATCGCAAAAGGGGGTCAAGTGATCTTGGGACAAAGCAAAGGTCATAAATACGAGTCAGTTGTCAACCATCTGAATTTTTATGACATGACCATGGGGTTGCTGGAATGGTCGTAACTATGAATAATGGTCATAAGTCACTTTTTTCAGTGCTGTTGTAACTTTAAATGCTCACTAAGCAAATTGTTGTACGTCGAGGACTACCTGTGTAGAAAAACCAAGCCTGGAGATGCAGGAGACAATGTTTTGGTTGCATTGTGAAACCTACTTGACCTACAACAATTTCTTTAGTGACCATTCAAAGTTACAACCGCACTATATTGGAAGAAAAATCCATCTGGTTCAGTTCCAAGCTGAGAAAAAGGTACTGGAAACAAAATGGAGGCTGATTGGAAAGAAAGATTATTTTTATTGATGAGCAGAAACACTAACAGCATGTGGTTCTGGGGCAGCTGACCTACCGGTTGAATGAGTGGATGGATCTTTACAGGTTTCTGAGATGTTGCTGGGAGTTGTACAATATCTGAAATATCCTGGGGTTGTGCAATGTAATGAACTTTGTGTCTTTTGCTATTCTAATGGTGATGGGTTAATCCTATTATGTCCTAAAAGGTCACATCTTTTCTTAGAATTTGGGTGGAGGAGAATGTAAATTTTAATCTCATTGCTGGGGGTGAAGGTGTTTTGTTTGTCAGTAGGCTGGCCCAACCTTTCTTAATGGGCACATTAAGAACGATTGGGAGCTACTTTCTGCCTTTAAAAACATGTTTCTCTATTTCTCCTTTGGGGAAATATAATATTCTGCCTCTTTTAATATTCCCCAAAACATTTCATTCTCTAGGACAGGGAGGAGGCTTCCCATGACTGAAAAGAGTGATTTATGATCAGTCATTGCGGTTATGACCATCCAGCATCCCAATGGTCATGTCATCAAAATTCAGACACTTAGCAACCATTGTGTATTTATGAGGGATGCAGCATCCCAGGGTCACATGATCACCTTTGGCAACTTTTCTAGCTCGCTTCTGACCAGTAAAGTCAAAGGGGAAAGCTGGATTAATAATTGCAATGGTTCGCTTAACAGTGGTGGCAAAAAAAAAAAAAAAACTTAAAACCAGGCGTGATTCACTTAACAACCACTTCATTTAGCAATGGAAATTCTGTTCTCAGTTGGGGTCATAAGTCTGGCACTCCCTGTGCAGCAGAATGGGTATTTAGGGCAGAATTGGGACCCGTCAGCAAATTTCTCTGCAAAAGTTAGTATCGCTGGGTACTGTGAGATTTACTGACATGTATATCTGGATTGCACCATAAAAATATGCATTGGTGATTTTTATCATTTATTTATTCATTGAAATAATTTGTATTTGTTATGAATAAGGAACCTGGGAGGTATTGTGTTTCTTCGTGCCTTTAGGCCTCCCAGTATTAGAACCCAGCTTACAAATACTGCTGCTTTGACTGACCAATCAGAATAGAGCTGGAAGGGGCCTTGGAGGTCTTCTAGTCCAGCCCCCTGCTCAAGCTGGAGACCCTATAGCATTTCAGACAAATGGCTGTCCAGTCTCTTCTTAAAAACCTCCAGGGATGGAGCACATACAATGTCTGAAGGCAAGCTGTCCTCACTGTGAGGAAGTTTCTCCTTAGTTCTAGGTTGCTTCTCTCCTGGGTTAGTTTCCATCTATTGTTTCTTGTCTGCCCTTCTGGTACTTTGGAGAATAATTTGGCCCCCTCTTCTTTGTGGCAGCCTCTCAGTTACTGGAATACTGGTATCATGTTCCGACTAGCCCTTCTTTTCTCTAGATTGGCCATACCCAATTCTTGCAACCATTCTTAATATGTTTTTGTCTCTGGGCCCTTACTCCTCTTAGTAGCATTTTTTCCAAAGTCTCAAAACCTTTTTTATAATGTAGTGACCAAAACTGGATGCAGTATTCCAGGTATGGCCTTACTAAGGTTTTATAAAACGATACTAATACTTCACTTGAGTTTGATTCTATGCTTTTATTTGTACAACCAAGGATTGTGTTCACATTTTTGGCTGCTGCTGCACACTGCTGGCTGATGTGGAAGTGATTGTCCACTATGATTTGCATGATTTGCATAAGGACATCATGGTACCTATGATGTTACTGTGACTTGGATCAGATATCTATGGTAGTGCTCTCACATTATAAATGGTGTGTAATAGCCTTGCAAGCCTGGTTAACTATAGTTATGTCAATGAACAGAGTTTAAGCAAAACTTGGTTTAAAATGATATGCAAAACCAATTGCAGACTCACTTCCTGCCTTCTGATCCATTTATATTTCCATCTTTGATTTTTTTTAAATCCAAATCATATAATGAACAATTCAGAATGATGTAGATTAGAACAATCCAACCAGAGTTCAGTTCTTTATTTGCTCACACACATATAGACAGATTCTCTCCAGACTAAAACCTGGCAAGAGAAGAAGGGAGGTAGGGAGGAAGAAAGGAAGGAAGGAATTTTATGGATATACACAATGCCTGTTGTTGACTTTCTGTTGATATTTTAATGTTATATACATTTTTGCTATTTTGTTTGCTTTTGTCTTGTTAATCCTCCCATAACAATAGACTTGGCTGTACATATTTGTGAAATAAATAATAAACTGATTTGCCGGTTTGCCGAACTGGCCATAATGTTAACTACAGGTTCACCTAAACTGGGGAGAACCCATAGCATCCCAACCCTGGTTGGGGACCCCCCTATATTAGGTAATTTTGGGCTAGGCTTTCTTACTTACTTAGACTAAAAAATCAAAAATATCTGTCCACTACAGATAGTCCTTGTTTAGCAACCACAGTTGGAACAAGCACCTTGGTTACTAAGTGAAGGAGAACTAAATGAAATTGCAATTGCACGTAAACTCTTATTTCAACTTTCCTTTGCTTTACAGTCTTGTGAAGATCATGTCAGGATTGGTCTCAAAGTTCCTTTTTCATTGCCATCGTAAATGTAAATAGTCATTGTATGAGGCAGTTGTTAAACAAGAACTGTGATCTGCATTATTTCTGATCTACTCAATAAGCAAACCTCTTTGTTATTTAAAACATTAAAGCTGTGTTTAAAAAAAGAAATCCCCGCCATAAATGAGGAAGTCAGCTCTATTTTCCTACAGTCGAAATGATGACACGATTCAAAGAAATTTAAAAGTTGGTGTTGCCACATACTGAAAGTCATTTTCTTCCTTTTTTTAACACTCCCAAAAAAGATTTTTCCTCTTGCATACACAGCTGCCCACCTCTTCAAACTACCCCAAACAAAAACATAAAACAACAACAATCAAACAGATAACAAAGAATCAGAGTTGGAAGGGACCTTGTAGGTCATCTAGTCCAGCTCCCTGCCCAAGCGGGAGACCCTACACCATTTCTGACAAATGGCAGTCCAATCTCTTCTTGAAAGTCTCAAGTGATGGCGCTCCCACAACTTCCGAGGGCAACTTCTGTTCCATTGCGTGATTGTTCTCACTGTCAGAAAGTTTCTCCTTATTTCCAGGTTAAATCTCTCCTTGTTCAGTTTCCATCCATTATTCCTTGTCTGGCCTACAGGCGCAAGTCATTTTTTGGGTGGTTCTGTGGATAGTATTTTTTTCTTCCAGAGAATATCTTGATCTTCTTTTTTACCCCTTGACAAAACTTTACGAGCAGATCCAAAATGAATTAGAAGTCAGCTAGGAACAGACACAACTGATTGACTAACCAAGCTGTTGTTTTTGGTTGCTGGTGCTCAGGAAGGACCTGCTGTCTTATACAACTATGAACCACATAGAAGGTGTGATTCCTAAATCAGTCTGATTGTTACAAACTTTGCAACATGGCTGGTTGCAAAGGCACCTATGCCCAAAGAAATGGATGTTAAAGCTTATTCTGCCCCTTACAGTGTCCTTCCCTTCTGGCTATGGGGAAAAGGCTAAAGAAAATCTTTATTTTGTTTAATCCTGCAGTGCTGACCCCATGCCATGGATTCAGTGTGGACACTGAACAACCGATTATCTTCCGGGAAACGGTGAAAAGTTTTGGCTACAGTGTGGCGCAATTTGGAAGCGGCACAAATGCCGGGTAGGTGACCCCAGTCTGTCTATAACAGGAATATGTCAAACTCAATTTCATTGAGGGCCATATCAGGGCTGTGGTTGACCTCAATCCCGGGTGGGTATGGCCAGCTGGACGGGCGTGAACAGCTTGATGCCACTCACTGGGTGTGACTGACTGGATGGGTGTGGCTGACTGGGTGGGCGTGGCCAGCTTAACGCCACTCCTCAAACTGCTGGCGTGTTTCCTCTTCACATTGGGTAGACTGGGCTGAAGTGACACAGGCCAGCCCTGTACGTTTTCCAGAATGGTCCTGAGGGCCGTATCCAACAATATTGTAGGGTGGATCTGGCCTGAGGGCCTTGTGTTTGACGCCCATGGTCTAGAACAATGTTTCTCAACATGACAAGTTAAAGATGGGTGTCCCAAAGGTGGCTTTTCAAAAGGCAACTGGACTTTCTTGTTTTTATTCAAAGACATTTCACTTCTCATCCAAGAAGCTTCTTCAGCTTGGACTGGATGGTGGGGAATGAACGTATTTACACTCCTTGGAGACAGCTGGTCATTTGCTTTCTTTTAGCAAGTCATCTAGGCCACTTGGAAGTTTATCTGTGTCCTCGGGGTCACCTGAGTGGTGTTCTCTCCTTCCTTCCTTCCTTCCTTCCTTCCTTCCTTCCTTCCTTCCTTCCCTCCCTCGCTCCCTCCCTCCCTCCTTCCTTCCTTCCTGCCTTCTTCCCTCCTTCTCTCCCTCCTTCTCCTTCCTTCCTTCCTTCCTTCCTTCCTTCCTTCCTTCCTTCCTTCTTTCCTTCCTTCCCTCGCCCCCTCCCTCCCTCCCTCACTCCCTGGTTGTTTAGTCCGAGTGGCTGAATCCTGTTTGGGTCCTTGAGCAGGTAGATTTCTGATTTGCCTATTCTACTTAGTCTGTGTTTCGCCTCCTCTTGACAGGGTGTTAGTAGGTGCTCCACTTCAGCAGGGAGTTGTGAATGAAACAGGGAAAATATACAAATGCCAGGTGACTGCAAGCAAGTCAGGCGGATGCCAGGAGTTGATTCTTCAAAGTAAGTGCTGAACTCTTTGATCCCTTGATGTTTAAGGCAGGAACTTCAGCATTTAATATTGACTTATTTATTGCTTTTGTTCCTCATAAATAATAAATGAGGAAGATAAGTACTAAAATACTATATTTTTATTCATATTTTAAACACTTATATTTTATATGTATATTGAATTTCAAAAGAAAAAGTTTATTGTATTTAAGTTATCCAGGGCCACATTATGTAAACTGTATTGCATTTCCTCTCTTTGGGGAGGTACATTAACACGATAAATCAAGATGTCTGTTGAGGTACTTCCCCATTAGGAGAATGAGAGCATACAGGGAGACGTAGTGAGAGTGGTGAAGAATAACACACAAACAGCACACAGATACACTGTATAGTAAAATGTAGGTTTTTACCTCCAATAAACGTTTAAGCAAAGTCCAAACAAGCAGTCCAAATCATTCACAGTTAAATCAGTCAGTTTTCAGTCCAGGGATAATCCAATAACAAAGTCCAGTATCAAAAACAATTCAGTAACAGACTTACATCAAATCCCAGATGAACTATGATCAGTAACACTCAATAGGAAGGCAACACTCTCCAGAACAACAGAACAAGAACTAAACAACCCAGGTTTCTGGCTCCATCTTATGGCCATTTGAGGAACCACACCCAATTACAGTTTTAGCATTCTCTTAAAGAGACAGTATTAAAATGTCTATCCTGGTTTATATATTTTCCAACCCAACTATTAGGTGACTTATACTCCCAACACTCTCTTTCCTTCCTTCCTTCCTTCCTTCCTTCCTTCCTTCCCTCCCTTCCTTCCTTCCCCCTTCCTTCCCCCTTCCTTCCTTCTTCCCTCTTCCCTTCTTTCCTGCCTGCCTTTGCTCCCTCCCTCGCTCCCTTTCTCCCTCCCCCTCCCTCCTTCCACCCTACCTTCCCTCCCTCCCTCTCTCCATCCATCCACCCATGCATCACTGGATGGATTATAAATTTAAACCCACATCATTATCTCTTGAAATCTTATGATTTCCACAGAACACAGTTTGAAGACACTGGTCTAGACTTCTCTTATATGTCCCTTAAGCCATGAATAAAACTTATTCTAGGTGAAACCCTTTGATGATTACCAGCTGAGTACCATGCCTGTATCCTCCTAAGGCATAACTTCCTGTAATTCCGGCTTATTTTGAAGTAATCATCAACCATATTCTTAAAATCTAGGATGGGCTTAAAAAAACATAAATAAGAATCACTATTATTATGAGCTACTCAAGTCATATGGAGATGGGCAGCATCAAACTGAATGAATTAATGAATAAAATACAGTTAGAATGGAAAATTTATAGCAAATGCTATTCAGTGTGTATGTGTGTGTGCGTGTGTGTTTTCCTTTAGTAATTTTTTTTTTGCCTTCTCAGGACCTCCTGATGCAATCAACATGTCTCTTGGTTTATCTGTTTCAGCCCATGATTCTCAAGTGTTGGTAAGGTATTGTCTTTGTCATTAGGTTGGTAGCAATGAGATGGTCTTTGCATAGCAGGTGGAAGCACTTCTCACCTTAAGGTAAAGGTAAAGGTTATCCTCGCACATATGTGCTAGTCATTTCTGGCTCTAGGGGGCGGTGCTCATCTCCGTTATAAAAATGAAGAGCCAGCACTGTCCGAAGATATCTCTGTGGTCATGTGGCCAGCATGACTAAATGTTGAAGACGCATGCATGGAACACTGTTACCTTCCCACCGAAGTGGTCCCTATTTTTCTACTTGCATTTTTACATGCTTTCAAACTGCTAGGTTGGCAGAAGCTGGGACAAGTAACGGGAGCTCATTCCATTAAGCAGTGCTGGGGATTCAAACTGCCGAACTACCAACCTCTCTGATTGACAAACTCAGCATTCTAGCCACTGAGCCACCACGTCCCTTAGGAGACTGCTGACTGCTGACCTTAGGAGGCCTCAAAAAGCTAACTGCAAGACACTGGATCTCTGGGAAGTAATAAAGGATGAAGATAAAGGGAAGAAGCACATTCAGACTGCAAAGTTCTGTTATTATAACCTTGTAATAAAAATAGCATTTGCCTTTGGTTTCTACCTTGGAGAGCGGACATCAGTCTTGCAAACCTGAATGTGCTCTCTCCCGCATCCCTATCTTCATAAGAACTAGGGGTGGGGTCTTGTTTGAGATTCAGGGAAATAAAAATTATTCCTGTAAAGGAACCGTATTTATCCTCTGTATAACCTAAAACCCTAATGGGAGATTAAATAAGGAATTGCACGTGAATGCTAGCTGTAAGGAAATAACAAGGCTTTTCCAGGTTACAGTTCTAGCCCGGATTCAGATTTCTCTTATCAGCCTGTTGTCTTGGTTGCAAGTTTTCCTTTTGTTCTTCAGGAATATTCCTCCTTTCCATTACATCGACACAGCAGTGTTATACAAGTAGTCCCCGAATTACAACTATTTGTTTAATGACAGTTTGAAGTTACAACAACAATGAAAAAGGTGACTTATGACTGTTTTTCACACTTATGACCATTGCAGCATCCCCAGGGTCACATGATCTAAATTCAGATGCTTAGCAACTGGCTCATATTTATGACGGTTGCAGTGTGCCGGGGTCATTGAACACCTTTTGTGACTTTCTGACAAGCAAGTCAATTGTGGAATCCAGATTCACTTTGCAACCATGTTACTCACTTAACAACTGCAATAATTCACTTAACAACTGTGGGAAGAAAGATGGTAAAATGAACCCAAATCCACTTAACAACTATCTCGCTTAGCAGCATAAATTTTGGGCTCAGTTGTGGTTATAAATTGAGAACTACCTGTATATGAAGTTAAGGATTAGGAGGCTTAAGGCTCCATAAAAGTTTTATTTCATTTACTTATATATCAAATTTAGAAACTGCCCATATTCCTCACGGATTGACTCAGGGTGGTATACAATTTAAATACTGTAGAAAAACATAAACTATATAGTAATAGCACTTACTTATATACCGCTTCACAGTGCTTCACAGCCTTCTCTAAGCAGTTTACAAAGTCAATATATTGCCCCCAATAATTTGAGTTCTCCTCTTACTGTCCTCAGAGGGTGGAAGGCTGATATTAGGAGGCAATTAAATCAGGAGTAAAATAATTAAAATTCAAAGTTAAAACAAGATAAAACAATTTAAGTGAAGTTGACCTTGCTAGATTTTCTGTGTCTGGTCACTGTAGATGGCTCTCCTTTACCCCACAGGTGTGTGGGCCCAGGGTACACCAAACGTGTGGGGAATACATATATCTCAAAGGTTATTGCTTCCTCTTGGACCAGAATTTGAGGCAGATCCAGCGCTTTCCTGATCAATTGCCAGGTGAGATCCAGATGCAAATCACCACCACCCACCTACAAATGTTAGAGATCATGTATGGGAAAATATAATTTCATTCATATCATTCATAATTTTCCCATAGTCTTATGAGTTGTTGCTTAACAACTGTTTGAAGTTAAAATTGATCTCCTCCAAGCTAAGAACAACCTGTTTTTGAAGTTGCAATGGCCACATATATAATATTACATGATCACATGATCCCGTTTGAGGTATTTGGTGACTGGCACACCTTTAAAGTCATTTTTGGTGCCCCACAGTCATGTGGCTACAATTTGTGACTATTTTTTTTTGCTGGTTTCTAGTATTTACTTCTGGTTTCTAACAACAACAACAACAAAAATCTCCACTGGGGGGAAATAGATTCACTTAACAACCATTGTGTTTGCATAAGAACTGTCATTAAAATTGGTAGTAACCTTCAATCTGATCATGTGATAGCAATAATACTTACTTATACAGGGGTATAAGTAAGTATAATTCAAAAATTTCAGCAACAAGCTCTCTGCCCCGTTGCTGGGTGGGCGTGGCCATGGTAGGAGTGGCCTAGTCAGCCTCCTGCACCACAGCTGAGGGTGGTGGTGGTATGTTTTTGCTCCAGAGGCTTTCCTCAAGCCTCTGGGAGGGCAAAAACGGCCTCCCCCAGGCTCCGGAGGCCTCTAGAAGCTGGAAAGGGGCCCATTTCTGGCTTTCTGGAACTTCCGGGAGGCCTATTTTTCGCCCTATCCAAGCCTTTGCGTGGGCTCTGCACTTGCCTCACATCCAAAGCGGGCTGCATGGAGACTTTTGAGAGGGGCAGGCTGGGTGGGAGGGGCAGGGCAGGGTGGGCAGGGCCAGCCAGGGGTGGGATTTGGTGGTTCTCTGAACCAGCCATAACATTAGCTACGGGTTCTCTTGAATCTGAGCGAACCCATAGCAGCCCATCCCTGGACTTATATACCACTTCACAGTGTTTGAAAGCTTTCTCTAAGCAGTTTACAGAGTCATCCTACTGCCTCCAACAATCTGGGTCCTCATTTTACTGATCTCGGAAGGCTGAGTCAACCTTGAGCCAGTGAGATTTGAAATGCCAAACTGCTGGCAGCCGGCAATCAGTAGCCTGCAGTACTGTATTCTAACCACTGCACCACTACAACTCTTGATGCCTCCACTTATGACTAAAACCCAGTGGTGGGATTCAAATGTTTTTATTACCAGTTCTGTGGGCGTGGCTTGGTGGGCATGGCAGGGGAAGTCAGAGGTGGCATTTGCCGGTTCTCTGAACTATTCAAAATGTCCACTATTGCTTCTCCAGAACTGGTCAGAACCTGCTGAATACCAACTCTGCTAAAAACCATATTTCAGGGTCAGTTACAATAATGTCAAGGACCACCTAAGCTCTCCAGGAGGCCCAGATGCATTGAGCTGAATGGAGCTTATTCTGAAATAAGCGTGAACAGGATTTTTGTAGAATTATACACACAAGGATGAAGGTCAGCTCATTCGGAAAAGAATGCGGGATAATTAAATGTCAGTCAACTTACAGTATCTCACATGCAGACACAGACATGCACAATCATGATTCATTTTTTGCATAATTTATTTATTATGTATGTTATTTTATTTTGTCATCTGCTTGACTATGTGCTATTCTTTTTTTTTTCCATTTTCTTCTCCATTGGCCTTGCTTCCGTAGAATGTTCCAGACGCCCTGCTGACATTGTTTTTCTGATTGATGGTTCAGGAAGCATAAAAACTCGTCAATTCATACAAATGAAAACCTTTATTTCTGAGGTCATAAAGCGTTTCCAAAATACAAACACTCAGGTAATGTTAAGAGATCAGACTGGATGAAACCATAATATTCAGAGTTGAAAATGTTGAGTCCCTCATTAATATCTGTAGTAGTATATAATCATTTAATTTTTTTACTGGGCTATAATATGCTCTTTCTAATTAGAAGCCTTTGATATTCAGTCTGTGGCAATTTCCATACTATGTTTGCTATTATCTTATAATATATATGTATATTTATTTTGGATGTTTTTATTTTTCACTTTTAAAATGTTTTTAGAGTTTTAATCGTAATACAGTTTAGTCCTTGACTTACAAGAGTTTATTTAGAGACTTCCGGTTTGAAGGGCTTCAGCAGTTTCTGTCTGGGTTTGCCGCTGGAGCGCCCCGAGTTGGTTGGTTTCGGGTCTAAGCCACCCCGTAGAGGTGGTGAAGAGGGGGGAGACTGCCAGCAGGGTTGAGGAGAGCCGCATCTCTCCTCCTCAGCTGGCCATTACTCCCTTTCCCGAAGGCGGTTGCAGCAGTGGTCAGAAATGGCCACCACAAAGAAGAACTCGACCAGAAAAGAATGTGCAGGAGGAAGATAAGAAGTGAAAGTTTTGGCTGACCGGGTTAAATTGTAAAAGCAACAACCAAGGTACTCTGGAATTTAAACTTACAAAAAATAACATCGCTCCCAAAGAAGAGTCGGAAGCAGCAAAGGAAAATGAAAAGGGAAAGGTTTGGCTTTTTTTTTTTCTTCTCTCTCCTTCCCTATACTGAAAGGAGACTTAAATAAGAAATCAGAAAAATCCGCTTTGACATCAATAGGCAATTAAGCTGAAAATAAAACAAAATGCCAAAGGGATAATAAAGATTTCTGGACATTAAAAACTTTCTTTTTCATAAGCAGGAAGGGAGAGAAAAAGAATAAGGGCAGGATCTGGAAGAGGAAGGATACTGCCTGGAATTAAAAAGAATCTAAAGTAAAACTTCAACAAGACTTCTAAAAGATACATTTTAACTGAAACTTTGCAACTAAATAGTAACCCTAGGAAGAGAAAGTGAAAAAAAAGAGCAAAAAAGAAACAGCTTGCCTGTATTTGGATTATTTGGTGATCTTTGGATTTTTGGTTATTACATTTGAATGACTAAAATCAATCAGGTGGTTGATTAAAAATTTATACAATGGCACCACTTCTGGATGAATTGAAAATGGAACTTAAAAAGTACAAAGAAGATGCACAAGAAGGGAAAGGTTCTTTTGGCTTTGTCTTTCAATTTTTAGAAATGGAGATTTGGAACTATGAGAAACAACAAGAAAAGTCTGCAAAACAAGAAGACTGGGACAAAGAAGAAGCCATCTTTAATGAACAAGTAATTCTATGTGGGGAAGAAAAAGGAAAGGGGGGAAAGAGAATGGAGAATTTAAGACTTAAGAAAACAACCAAAGAAAAGAAAAATAATTCGAAAAATAAGTATAATACTGGAAAGCAACAGAAAAGGGGAATACGAAGAGAGAAATAGAGATAGAGAGACAAGGGGGTAAAAAGGAGAGAGAGAAGAAGAGAGGGAAGAAGGAAAGGAAAAGAAGTTATAAAGGACCAGAGCAAGATATAGAGAAACAGGACTATTTAGAGATAATGGGTGAAAATCTAACTGAAAAGGGGATTCTGTAAAGGTACGCAAGATTGTATTGTTATATTAGTAATAGAAATAACTGTAGAAAATTGGAAACAATGTATGATTACAATGAGGGATAAAATAGTTAGTGTAATTTAGTGAAATGTTTGTGAATAAAATAAGTGAAATAAAATAAATGAGAAAATTGAATTAGGAAGGAACGGGAACATTTTAATTAGTTAATGTTTTATAAAATATAAGTGAAGGGGCGGAATTATGGAAAGCTTATAATTGTTCCCATAGAAGTATGATATTTAATTGAAAA